GGGGAGAGGTGACCACGCAGGACAACTCAGAGGGCGAGGGTGGGCGCCCAAGGAAGGAGCAGCAGAGCCGGATCAAGGACCTGCCCGAGGTGGGGGAGGGGAAGAGGGCACGGGAGGGACCCAGAAGGCTCGTCCACCACCAGGAAGCCACCTGAGACCACTGCAACTCAGACCCCAGCTTTTGATGCAGCGCTCACCCAATTACATGACCCACTCTGGGAGGCAGGGGCCTCAGGACCCGGGCCCACAGACGTCCTGTGCTGGACCCCTCACACTTCGTGAGGGCTGCTGTGCTCGTCCACACAGGTGCTGGGTCCAGCTCTCCCGACGCAGAGCGCGTGGGCTCAGCAGGGCACACCCTACATGCTCTGGCGCCCAGCACCACGGGAGCAGCGGCACCTAGCACAAGCCCTGCTCCACTCGTACAGTCCCTGGTCCAGCAGAACGTGAGTCAAGGACAGCGGGGCCTCCCCTGCCCTTGGAGCAGGCAGCCACACCTCGGCCCGGTCAGACCTGCAGGCGCCTAGTTTGGTGTGGATGGGGGGTGGGGGTCCAACGTGGACCTCCCGGGACGGGCCTGGGGACCTGAGTGCTTCCCAGGTGACGCTCATCCGGTCAGACGTTCCCTCCCACACTGGCCCACACAGGCATCGCCGGGCTGATGGCCTCCCTGGGCGGCCAGTCACCTGGTGGAGGGAATGACCAGAGACTCTGTCTTGGTGATCCGCCCGCTGGGTGGCAGCTTCTCGGTGAACAGGTCCAGGGCAGAGGTCTCCACCTCCGGGCTGTCCTCGGGCTGGGCTGGCTGCTCCCCCGGGGCGGGTGCGCTCTGATGGACAGAGAATGGCGCTGGTCAGGAACACACGCCCCTCCGGGGCCTCCTCTCGGCCATGCACTCCTGTGCCAGACAGGCCTTGGTTTGGGTGAGACTGCTTAGGCCTCTCTTGGTCTGGTGGCTCCCTGCGTGTGGACACGGCCACGTGCTGCCCTGGGAAGCGAGCTTACTTCACCCTTCAACCACAGGGCTCCCAGTCCTGGCTGCCACCGGGAGACCAGCACCAACCCTCCCCAAACCTCCTCTGGACCTTCCCTAAGAACCCTCACAAGGGCAGCAGGAACCAGCCATGGTGTTCATGGGCCATGCCTGACAGGAAAGCGTGGGGACGCCTGCTGACCCCCAGAGCTGGGGTGAATCCAGGGCGGGCCTTGACCATCCCCCTGGGGTGCGGTGAATCCAGGGGGCCCTGACCGTCCCCCGGGGGTGGGGGTGAATCCAGGGGGCCCTGACCGTCCCCCTGGGGTGGGGTGAATCTGGGGGGCCCTAACCGTTCCCCTGGCATGGGGTGAAACCGGGCACCCTCCCTGGGGTGGGGGTGAGTTCAGGGGCGCCCTCGTGGTTCTGTGCACAGGTTCTGGGTGGCGGAAGCAGGAGGACCTGCCAGTCAGGGATCAGACCCCTAAAGGCACCATGTAAGTGGGCTGTATGTTGGCACCCGTGAACGTGGCCCCGCCTGCTTACGTGGGCCACGGAATCGGAGATGCTGTCACTTGGCTGCTTCCCTCCGAGGGCCCGCATCTTCTCGGGCACGTCGGCCTGTGTGGACGAGACGGGAGGGAATCAGGCTGTGTCCGACCACGGCACCGAGGCTGGCTCACCTCTGGGCAGGGGGTTCTGGGCTTGGAGGCAGCCTGGGGAGACTGGCCAGGACTTCCTGGGCTGTGGGTTCAGGGTCACCCCACGACCGTCATCTGGAACCTGGCAGGGGGACTCGGGCCACACCAGAAACCAGGGGCGCGCTCGGCCTTGGGTTGGTCCGGCACCAATGTGCAAGCTGCCTCGAGGGACTCAGACAGACAGGAAGGATCAGGGCGCGCCCCACCCCCACCCGAGGACCCCAGTGGGAGCACGGGGCTGCCTGGCTCCGGGCCGCTCACCGGACTCGGAGGCTCCTTCTGGCTCCGGGCACTGTGGATGCTCCCGATCTCTGTCTGCGAGCTGGAGTGGGACAGGCCTTCGAAGTACGGCCTGGGTGGCGCGGACGGAGAGCGCATTATTCTCCAGTACCTCCCCGAGCTGAAGGCGCAGCCACTGCGCCTGGCGGGGTCAGATGCGCAGCAGGGCCCCCACCCTCGAGGACCACGGCACAGGCGAGGACACCGAGGGCCTGAGAGAAGCTGCAGACCTGTGCCCCCAAACCCCATCCGCTCTCGGCCTCGGCCCTGGCGGGGTGGCCAGTGGCACACGTTGACAGCTGCACCCGACACCCAGGCTGGAGGCCTGTCTGGTGGGGAACCCACAGCCAGCTTGCAGGAGCTGAAGGTCAAGCTAAAACAAGGGACGGGACTCAGGCAGTGTCTGGTGAGGAAGCCACGTGGGGCAGGACCACAGTGCGTGGCAGGAGGGTCAGGCCTGAGATGCCACGCCTCAGCCCCAGGACTGGGACTCGGGCTGGCCAGGGCTCGCACTACAGGCACAGCTAACATTACGGAGGGAGCTACAGGCGGGGACGGCCCCGAGTCAGCCAGGCGGCCGAGGTAATCACGGCGGCTGATAAAAGTAGAGACCTTCTCCAACTGAAGGCAGAGAGGGGTCGGGGGGCAAATACCGAAGGACACGACCACCGTGCCGGCCTTAAAGGTGGAGGGGGCAGCAGGTAGAAGGGAGGCAGGAGCCCCGTCCCGCAGCCGCCTGGCTGAGCCCCCAGGAGGCCAGTGGCTGACACCCTGACTTGAGCCCACAGTCTCCAACCTCCCAGAGGAGGGTAACTGGGCAGTTGAGTCAAAGGTCACTGGTCAGCAGCTGGGGACGCTGCACTGGGAGGTGGGTGTGCGAGGGTGCAGCGGGAGCCAGAGAGCAGGTGACAGCATGGCCAGCCCTTTCTCGTGTGTGCTTCCCTGTGTCTGACTTATGCTTGTTTTAAGTTTAAAAACCAACCGGTCCACAGACCTCCCCGCCTCTGACTTGGACCCCCTCCACCCCCACCGGCTCCTGACGTGGACTCAGACCCGTGCGCTCTCTCCACCAGGCCGGGCATCAGCGCCCACATCACCTGTCCCCCAGGCTCCCTTCCAGCACCAGCCACGCCGCACCCGTGCCCCTGGGGGGCGGCCCCAGCACGCCCCTCATCTCCGCATCGGACGGAGAGCCCTGTGGGCCCGCGCTCACCGGTCTCCTCCTGTGATGCCCAGCCAGCACCCCCTCCCCAGCCCACATTGCCCCCGCCCCCGCCCAGGGCCCCTGCCTTCCACACAACTTCCTGGCCTGGCCCCCTCCTGCCCCAACACCATGGCCTCCTGCAGGGATGACCCGAGCTGCTCCCAGGAGATCCCAGAGAGACCTTTTCCAGATGCAAACTGGACCCTGTCACTTCACCACTTCTCACACCTGAGGCACCGTTGCGGTCCGCGGCTCCTGCCCTCCCCTCCCCAGAGCCTGCACCCTCGAGGGCCTGCTTTCTCACAAACCACCTTTCCCTCCGGCCCCGACAACCCCCCAGATGGACATCCTCCTGGGCTGGCCTCTGCCAACCTCTGGCTTTGAAGGCAGACGGCCGTGTCCACTGTGTCCCAGCGTGGTGGCATATGCCGGCCAGCGGCTGTGCCCACCTGAGCTTTGGCTTGGGGGTGCTGAGGACGCTGTCATCGTCCTCCATGTCGGGGCCGCTGTCACTGGGGTTCTCCATGTCCAGCGTGTCGTACAGAAGGTCCAGGTCCTCCTCCACCTCGGGGACATGCTCTGCAGGGTCCTGCTCCGAGTCCAGGACCTACGTGGGATCAGAGGTGTGAGGCTGGCCCGGTGGGAAGGGGCTCCTGAGGGACAGACGGGAGGAGGGTGCACGGCCGCCCAGCACCCCTCCTCCAGCCTGTGCCACCAGCCAGTCCCCGGGGGACCTCCGGTCACCCGGGCGCTGTGCAGGGGGCTCTTCTCTCCAGCCTCGGAAGCTTTAACACCCCAACGCACCCTTTAGAGCACCAAGCGGTGCTATGACAGTGTGTGCTGTGGTGTGGCACCACGACGATCAGGATGTAAAAGGTTTCCCTCCCCAGGCACCCCCTGCCCCCGACGGTCCCCTCACCCAGCCCCGTGCACCGGGCCTTTCCCAGGATGGCACATGAATGGAACTGCTCCGCGTGCAGCCTCCCCTCACTCAGCGTGACGTGTGTGTGTGTGTGTGTGTGTGTGTGTGTTTGTGTGTGTAAGTGTGTTTGCCCACAGCCTGCTCCTTCTTGATAGTGGGCCACCCACGGGAGGGGTCACAGTATGTCTGACCAACGGCCGGTGGAGGACAGGGCGATGCTCCCAGCGTCAGCACTACAGGTGAAGCTCCTATGACTGTTTATCGGTGGACGTGATAAACGTGTGGATGTGTTTCCATCTCTCGTAGGGAAGTACTCAGCAGTGGGACTGCTGGGTGCCTGGCAAGCTTTCCGAGGCACCGCTGGCCTGTTCTCCACAGTGGCTGCACCGCTTCCGTTCCCTCCAGCACGTGTGAGGGTTCCCACTGTTACACACCCTTGTCGACACTTATCTTCCGTGTTGCTGGTGACGGCCGCCCTAGTGGGTATTAAGAGGGGTCTGTGGTTCTGATCTGTGTTCCCCAAAGACTAGAGATGCCAAGCATCTCTTCACGGGCTGATTGGCTGTCTGTATTTCTTCTTTGGAGAACTATCTAGTCAGATCCTTAGCCCAATTTTTAAAGTGGACAATTAATTTTTTAACTGCATTGTTCTGTTTTTGAGTTGTAAGTGTTCTTTATGTATTCTGGATACAAGTCTCTTACCAGATATATGATTTTTTTAAAAATTTTATTTTATCTATTTTTGGCTGCGTTGGGTCTTCGTTGCTGTGTGCGGGCTTTCTCTAGTTGCGGTGCGCGGGCCTCTAATCGCGGTGGCTTCTCTTGCTGCTGAGCACGGGCTCTAGGCACACGGGCTTCAGTAGCTGTGGCTCGCGGGCTCAGTAGTTGTGGCTCGAGGGCTCTAGAGTGCAGGCTCAGTAGTTGTGGTGCACGGGCTTAGTTGCTCCGCGGCATGTGGGATCTTCCCAGACCAGGGCTCAAACCCATGTCCCCTGCATTGGCAGGAGGATTCTTAACCACTGCGCCACCAGGGAAGCCCCAGATATATGATGTGCAAAAAATTTTTCCCATTCTGTGGGCTGTTGTTTCATTTTCTTGATGGTATTGTTGTAAGCACAGCAGGTTTAAATTTTGATGTAGTCCAACTTACCTATTTTTTCTTCGTTTGCTCATGCTTTTGGTGTCGTTATCTAAAAAACCATTGCCTGACCCAAGACACAAATACCCCTGTTTTCTTCTAAGAGGTCTATAGTTGTAACTTGCACATTTAGATCTTTGACCCATTTTGAGTTAATTTTTGTAGGCTGTGGCATGAGGTAGGGGTCCAACTTCATTCTTTTGTATGCAGATATCCAATTGTTCCAGCACTATTTGCTGAAAAGGCTACTTTTCTCCCCACTGAATGGTGTTCGCACCTTGTCGAAAATCAACTGATCATAAACAGAAGGATTTCTTTCTGGACTCTTATCCTTACTTCATTGACCCATCACAGTCTGATGACAGTAGCTTTTGGTAAGTTTTGAAAATGGACAGGTGAGTCCTCCAACTTGTGCTTTTTCACGATTGTTTTGTTGATTCTGGGTCCCTCGCATTTCCACATAAGTTTCAGGACTAGCTGGCTGGTTTCTGCAAAAAGGCAGCTGGCGATTTGATAGGAATCATGTTGACGCTGTGGGTCAGTGTGGGAAGGACCGTGGCTGAGCCGGGCCCATTTCGAGCAGCTGACCTGCTAAGAGCTGCTGCAAGAGGATGCCCCACCACTGCGCGTGGGCGCACAGTCGCGGCTTCCGGGAAGCACACAGCTTGCTTTACGGGCCATCATGACACATGTGATGACGATGTCTCGGGGCTTTGATACTTAAATGCCACCTCTCCTGGGTGGGTCCAGAACCTGGGGACTAAGTTTCCTCTGATCACATTAAAAAAAAAAAAGTTTTTTTTTTTTTCTGGTTATCACAGTTACACAAAGTCATCGTTTGGAGACTAGAAAAAAGCTAAAAGAATAAATTTTAAAACACATAGTATGTTGCTCATGGGGAGGCAGTGTGTGGGGTGACAGGGCACATGGGGAAACTGTACTCAGTTTTGCTGTGAACCTAAAACTGCCCTAAAAAATAAAGTTAATTGATAAAAAAACACAGAACACAAAGAGCCGTGGCCACACCCCGCAAAGACAATGTGCGCTCTCCCCCAGGTCTGTTCAGCAAAAGCTGTCAAGAAACACAGCAGGCATCGCCTGGGGCCTCTGCCTGCCCCTCGAGCGTCCCCGGGGGCAGGCGCCACCATCACCCTCGCTCCTGGAGAAGGCAGTGACGTCCAGAGGGCCACGGGGGCAGCGAACAGCAGAGCGGGACCTGCCGGGACTGGCCTCCAGAGCCCTCCCGCCAGCGGACGCGGGACTGCCACGGGGGGAGGGGCTGCTCACTCACCTCATCGGAAACTTTAAATCTCCGCAGCAGGGCCACGACCTTCTGCTTGAAGTTTTGTTGCTGCAAGACAAGGAGGACGGCATCAGAACCCTTGCAGCCGCTTCCCGGAGGACACAGTGGGGCCGGCACCAGGCTGCACCGTGAGGGCGGCCTCCGCAGGCAGGGGGCACAGCTCAAACACGCGGCAACACCTATGAACTTGAACACGGCTGCTGGCACTTTAACAACAGTAAGCGTTTTCACAAGCATCTGAAACCACAGCTGTGGTCAGACTTAGAAATGGACCCAGAGAGGAGCTGTCAGCCTCAGAGCCGGCGAAGGGGAGCCGCAGGGAGGGCATATCTTACGGTTGTTCCAGAAGCCTCTGTGCCAGTGAGGCCCCCGCCCTCCCTCCTCGGGACCTAGGGCGTGGTCAGGGCGCATTGGAGCCTGAGCCCATCTCTCCTGGTGCTGCCCTGGCCACTGGCCTCCGACCGAGGCCACCCAAAAGGAGGCCCACGCCCCCTCCACAGAAGTTGGGCCTCGGGTCCTGGACCTGAGGCTCAGACAGGTACTGTCACAGCAGCGTGCGGGCCTCCACACCACGGTCCAGAACACGCGCTTCACCCGGTATACGGGGACCAGCCCACGGTCTCCCAGCATGGCCGGGGGGGGCAGTGGTTTCTGGGGCTGGGCTGGGCCATCAGCACCGGGGCTTCCCGGGTCTCCCTTAGAGCTGGCCTGGCCTGGGGCCACAAGGCAGAGTGGCTCAGCACTGTGAGCTCGCCCAGGAGCTCTGGCACTGGGGCTGCACGATTCATGATGGGCCACGGCCCCTGCCTGGACTTCCCTCCGAAAGGAGGAGCCTGGCAGCCCTTCCAAGCCCCTGGGCACAGAGCAGAGCCGGGGGCGGGGGCTGGCCTCACACTGGGCGTGTCTGGGCCAAGCAGCAGGGGACCGGCCCTCGGCTCTGCTCCAAGAGTGGCCTTGCCCCCTGTCCTCTGGGCTGTAGGCCACAGCCCCCCGCCCAGGGCAAGGCCGTGGCATGGGGTTCCCCGCCTTCACGCTGTATTTGGGGAAGAGACTGGGCCTCTGAAGAAACCACGGGGGGCAGCGCATGTGCCCAGGCGACCCCAGGGCAGGCTGCCTCACGTCCTGCCCCGCCCCCACCCCGGGCCCCCACCCCCTGCCCTTCCCCAGTGTTAGTAAAACCAGTTTCCACCGACCCTGGTCATGGACGTCGTTCTTACTATCGATCGCCGTTGCTTCTTGGGCTTCCCCACGTCGAAGTCATCCTCGTCCAAATCCTGCAGAGACACGTGGCACCTGGGGCCAGGCCACCCTCAGTACACGTGGGACCCCGCCCCTGCCTGCTGTGCGCCTGGCCCAGGGCCGACCCACATGGACGGGCGGCCTCCTTGGGCGGCCTGGGGAAGGGACTGGTCTCCTGGGCGTCCCAGCGCGTCTGCTGACACCCTCCAGCCCTGGGGACGGGGACCAGGCTCCCAGCCCCCTATGCCCCCTGCTACCCTGGCAACAGTGGCTCTGGGAGGGCCTGGGCCCGTCCACGGCGGGCTGCGCAGCTGCTGGGGGTCTGGCAGGGGCTGGGCACGGGGCGCTGGGAGCCTCGAGGCCAGTGCCCCCCGGGCCCCGCGTTACCTGCCCCTGCACGGCGTCGTCGCTGGCTTCCTGCTCAGAGGAGAAGCTCTCGTACTCCTCCTCGGAGTAGTTATCTGCGGGGTGAGCAGAAGGAAGGGAGGGCGCCTCGACGTTCCAGCCCGTGTCCCAGCAATAAGGTGGCGCCCCAGTGACTGCCCCCCGCCCCCGGCGTGCAGGGGAGCCACGAGGACACAGCCCCGCACGCGGCAGGTGGACTGTCGAGGGGGCAGGGGCTGCACTGTAGCCCCCCCACCATGGCCCCCAGCCCTGCTGCCCGTCACAGGGCTCAAACCGGGTCTCCTGCTCGACTAGGTCCCCACTGGCCCACCCTCGCCTCAGAGGAGATGGTGACCCCGACTGCGACGGAGGTGACAGCCCACACCACGACCGTGCCAGACCCTGGAAGGCACCATGGTCGACCCCGTGACCTGCTTCCTGACCATGTCCCAGCGCGAAGGCAGGGCTGACACGCCCTCAGCCCAGAGAGTAGCCGCAGACCCTCACATCCCCTCCCCAACCTCTCGAGCCCACGGGCCAGTGGCCAGCAGGCAGCATCCGTGGCAGAAACGCTGCCCGCAGCTGCTCTCACCGGTGGACTTGGCCTTGGGGCCGGCCTGCATGGTGCTGTCCTCGTGGTCGATAGGCTGGCTGGACAGGGCGAAGATCCAGATCTCGGCCACCTTGACCGCGGCCTCCTTGATGTTGCTGCAAAGGCTCAGCACCTGGCCGCCCTCGCAGGGGTGCTGCAGCACCTGTGGGCAGGGCGCGGCTCTAGAGGCCTCACCAGCCTCACCCTGCGGGGCGGCACACGCTGGGGGGCGGGCGGGCTTTCCCCTGGCGGTGACGACAGAGGGTGCACTCCGCAGGGCAAGCACGGCGGCAGGGGGCGGTGCAGGAGGACACGAGGACAGGGGGCCAGTGGATGGGCCAAGAGAGGAGACACGGGAGCAGGGTGGATGGGCTGGGAGGGAGCACACCGGGCCGGGCTGGGAGCTCAGCCAGGCCCCGCCCCTAAGGACTGGAGGCCATCAGGGAGGAGGGTCGGTGGCAGCGAGCAGTGTGTGAAGCCACGCAGGGGCCAGTCCAGACACAGCCACCGACTCTCGGGACTCAACCCCAGGAACCCGTGTCCCTGGGAGACCAAGGAGGACCGGGCCCCCAGTGCAAGCCAGGGCTCTGGTGCCGTGGAGCTGACATGCACCAGGTTTGGCCCACCAGGATGATGAAGCCCTGCGGCCGTTCTGATCATGAGAGAATCAAATAAGCTGGGGAGAGCGGCAGAGTCCCCCTGCGTCCCCCGCCTGGCGCCGGCCTGAGCCCCGCGCTGGTCCCAGACGCCCAAGCCATTCACCTTGATGGGGTCTCATCATGATAACCCAGCGAATGCGTGCCTCTGCGTTTCAGAAGCTGCCTTTTGGGTCATTTGATCACACCTAGATGCTGGGGTTTTATGGACCAGATTCTTTTTTAATTTGGGGGGGCCAACTCCTTAGTCAAGTAAGAAAGTAAGAATTTTGAGAAAAGTAACATCACCTATCACCATCAGTGAAAAAGCCAAGTTAAAAAAGGAGCTGGCAGCCCCTCTGACCCACACCAGCATGTGTCCACCCACCCCAGGGAGCCCCCGTCCCGCCGAGCAGGACATCCAGGAGGGACAGCGTGGGACAAGGGTGCCCGGAGCGATGCCCCCCCGGGGGGCACAGGAGGGAGGTGTGGCCGCCGCCCAGCCACCCTGACCTCGGCCATGTTGATGGAGCCAGCCGCCAGCGTTTTGTAGCCCAGGATCGTCCGGTTCTTGTACCGCTTTCTTCGCTGCAACATGATCTGAAGCTTGTTGCCTTCTCTTTTCAAGAAGTGGGGGTACTGCGGGAGAAGGAGGGGGCGGGTCACAGCTCTGAAGGCAGCCACGCCCACCGACACCCACGAGGTCTCAGGCACCCAAGCCCCAGGGTTCCCTCCCTGCTGGTCACCAAGGGCCTCGGTCACCAGGAACAGCTCCTGGTGGCAGATGTGTGCCACATGGCCAGGCCCTCGGGAGGGGCCTGCGCATCTGTGGACGTGCAGTAACTGCTCAGCGGTGCTTCCGTCTGGCGGTCCAGTGGGCCGTGCCCACCCAGCACTCCAGGTCCAGGCCGCCTGCGCCTGCTCGTGGGACCGCAGGGCTTTTACACACTGCAGAGGTCGTGTGCACACAGCAGACGTGCACGCTTCCTCAAGGTTCACAAATAAAAACCTCCTTTAAAAGCTGGGGCATGATGGGACTGCCCTCCACCTTGACTGCGGTGGCGGTTACATACCTGTGCACCACGAAGCCGTAAACTTAAATACAGTGAACTGTACATTTTGGAAATCATACTCCGTAAACCTGACTCCCGGGGAGTTCTCTGGTGGTCCAGGGGTTAAGACCCCCCCCCCCCCGCCTTCCACTGCAGGGGGTGTGGGTTTGGCCGGGGAACTAAGATCCCATATGCCTCGGGGCATGGCCAAAAAATAAAAATAATAAAAAAACCCCAAAGCTGCTGTGGGTCTGGGCTCCAGCGGAGCCAGGCACAGCCCGGTGAGGTGGTCTTGGGGGAGGGCAGAGGCGACGCGCAGGGGCGGACGCGCAGGGTTCGCGCAGAGGCGACGCGCAGGGGCGGACGCGCAGGGTTCGCGCAGAGGCGACGCGCAGGGTTCGCGCAGAGGCGACGCGCAGGGGCGGACGCGCAGGGTTCGCGCAGAGGCGACGCGCAGGGGCGGACGCGCAGGGTTCGCGCAGAGGCGACGCGCAGGGGCGGACGCGCAGGGGCGGACGCGCAGGGGCGGACGCGCAGGGTTCGCGCAGAGGCGACGCGCAGGGGCGGACGCGCAGGGTTCGCGCAGAGGCGACGCGCAGGGGCGGACGCGCAGGGTTCGCGCAGACTCTCCAAAGCGCGGCCCTGTCTTCTACGCTCACAGGGAGAATGGAGGAGTTTAATGTATCGGGAAAGCGCTGATACTAAATACAGCAAGTGTGTTCAGCCAGAGCTACGTCCACTGAATTTAAATAATGCCGATCTTAATTATGCAAAGAGACGCGGGGGGTGGGGCGGGGGGGTGAGGAGGCTGCGGGCGGGGGAGGGCTGATCTACTCACGCCCCCGACCCGGGGGGCCTCTGCTTCACACGGTGGGGGGCTCCCGGTCTAAACAGCCCGTTCACCGCCAGCACACCCCAAAATAATACTCCCAAGGGGTTTGAACTCGCGACACCGAGTTTCCATAGGTTCCTCCGCATCTTTCTTTTTCTTTTTTTAAACAATGTTGTTTTTTTGAGTGGCTTCCCTCAGCCCCCGCTCCCCCAGCTTTTCTAAACACAGGAATGAGGCGACCTAAACCGATCATCTGAGTTTTGGCCTCACTACGTTTTCTTCATCATGGGAATGCGACCCAATAAGCAAGCATATTTCTAACCTCGGAGAGTGAGCCCTGTGGGAGAGGGGACCTCTGTGGCCACAGGGGCTGCGGGAAGGGTGAGGGTGGGGGGGGGTCCCCCTGGAGGCCCACCTGCAGGGAGAACGTCAGCGCCAGGTCAGTTTCCACTTGTCCACTGGGGGGCAGCACGATCTCGTGGGACCGCAGGATCCGCTTGGAGCCCTGGGACAGAACAAGACATCTCCTAGTTCAGAAGAAGGCATCTTAAAATGAAACAGCGAAGACGTCGGCTTGTCAGTTCTCTTCAGACTGTCAGGCAAAGACCCGCAGATGGTGGCGGTGAGGCCCGAGCGCGTGTGATTCCCAAAGGCCCCGCGGGGAGATTTATCCAGAGCCTTAGAAGATCCCATATCCTCTGACCCCCAAGTCCTCCTCTAGAAGCCTGTGCTAAGCTGTGAGAGAGGAGATTGAGAACAGTCACTGCCCAATTTCACACAGCTGCAGGATGGAGCTGCAGCAAGAGATGCAGCTGGGCAAGCAGGTGTGCGAGAAGCCACGCGCTCCTGGGAAAGCAGGACGGTGAGGGGTGACTGCCCCCTCCCCACTGAGAGGAGAATGCGTGCAAAGGTCAGGAATCAAAGCCCAGCGGCACCGTCACAAGGACAGAGAGAGCAGTATGAGCCTGGAACTAGATTCAGAAAACACACAGACACATGTAAAAACAAACTTAGTGTGTAATAAGGAGCCTTCAGGTCGGTAAGAAAAGCTAATCACTAAATGGCTGTGACACATGGGTGGTGAATCATCTGTTTAAAACACACAGGTCCCAGGGGCTTCCTGGTGGTGCAGTGGTTAAGAATCTGCCTGCCGATGCAGGGGACACGGGTTCGAGCCCTGGTCCGGGAAGATCCCACATGCCGCGGAGCAACTGAGCCCGTGCGCCCCAACTACTGAGCCTGCACTCTAGAGCCCACTAGCCACAACTACTGAGCCCATGTGCCACAACTACTGAAGCCCGTGCACCACAACTACTGAGCCTGCGCTCTAAAGCCCACTAGCCACAACTACTGAGCCCACGCACCACAACTACTGAAGCCCACATGCCTAGAGCCCATGCTCCACAACAAGAGAAGCCACCGCAATGAGAAGCCCACGCACCGCAACGAAGAGTAGCCCCCACTCGCCGCAACTAGGGAAAGCCCGCGCGCAGCGACAAAGACCCAACACAGCCAAAAATCAATCAATCAATCAATCAATTAATTAATTTAAAAAAATAATTAACCCCCCCCCACAGGTCCCAACCTCAAACCTCGTACCAAAATAAGTTCCAAATGGATTAAAGATGTTCATGATAGTATTGTTTTAAAACTAGGTCTCCCAACATAGACGAGCCTTGGAGATGTTACACTAAGTGCAGGAAGCCAGACACAGCAGGACAAACCCCGTGAACCCATGTCCAGGGGGCCCCACGAGGAGCCAGATTCACAGAGTCAGGTCGGAGAACAGAGGTTACCACGCGGCTGACGAGGCCAGGGGTGGCCTCGGGAGCTCCCAAGGCGTCTCACCAAGATGAGGGGTGCAGAGGAATGGGTGAGAGTGGGAGTGGGGTGTGGGTCCAGGACAAAGACGTGAGCCACACAGACGTGTGAGCTGACGGGAGTGACAGGGAGGGGCGTGGGCACCAGTGTGGGGTGGTCGAGCGGCTAAGAAGCCTTGCTGGAGACACCGCCCTCTGCATGCACGCGGCGTTGGTGCCGAGGCCGTGCTGCCCGCAGCTACTCCCAGCACGGAGTGTACCGAGGGGCCCCCCCAGCCCTAGCTCTCCCCCAGCCCTAGCTCTCCCAGGGGCAGGCTCCCCGTGTGTGGTCTGGTGCTCTCCCCACCCCCTGGCCCGTTCCCCTCTGTCCCTCACAGCTGTTTCCCCCCAGTTTCCTGCACGTCTCATCCCATCCAGGCCAGGACCTGAACTGATGGGCCCGTGCCCGGGCAAGGAGGACCCATGCGCAGATGGGCGAGGGGGCAGCAGTGAACACACGTACGGAGACTCGGGTCAGCGGGGGAGGCCGGCTCGCCTGCTTCCTCTGGGAGTCAGGACACAGGGGCCTGGGAGCGGGGGGCAGCTGAGGAGCCAGTGTGAAAGGCAGGTGACCCAGGCAGGAGAGGATGCCCCAGGAGAAGCAGGCAAGGAGCTGAGTGTCGGCCAACTGGGGGCGCAGGCCCAGGCGATGGGGGCACTCGGGCAAGCTGGAGGAGCAGGGGGCTCCAAGGGGCCTGGGACCCTGACCAGAGGCTGAGTTCTCGATAATGACGGGGTCCGGGGCAGGACCGAGGGGCGGGCAGCTGGAGGAACGGGGCCAGAGTGCCGGGGCGCCGGTCGTGTCAGAGTCAACAGTGCCGGTTTCAGAGGCCAGGGATGGGCAAACCAGCTTGTTCTGAGGGCCTGGAGCGCCATCGACCCCTCCCGAGCCAGGAGGCCCAGAGCACGGCCGGCGGGGCTGGTTCTCGTGCGGGCATCTTCCCACGTCCCAGGTGTGCAGCCGGGCACGGCCTGCTTCACGCTGAGAGCGGCAGCTCCGTCGGTGGGGGAGCTTCGGGTCTTTGTTCAACAGTGTACTGCTTTTCTGGTAAGGGCAAATGACCGGGAAGGGCGGGCCTCGCGCCTGCTGGGCTCCAACCTGAGCTCCCCGTTTGGAGGAAAGCCTGGCCCCAAGGCCCACGAGCTGCTCCTGGAGGTCCGGCCAGGAGGCCCTGGTGAGCCTCATGAGGAGCCACAGGCCAGCCACAAGCTTGGGCTCCAGCAGCCTGGGGCTGGGGGAGAAGCAGGACCCCGGCCCTGCGTGGTGCCGACGGTCTGGGGGTCCTAACAGGACAGGCCTCCATACCCACTGGGCCCCAGCCGAGGGGCTGAACCCAGGGCATCCCCACTTCCAGGAGCTGCCACACAAAGCCACGTGTGAGCAGTGCTGGGGGAGGGAGGGCCCTGACAAAGTGGGCCTGACACACGGCCGCACGGCTGCAAAGGGCTGCACGAAGTACAGCCCAGGCCCGAGACCCACGTCCCACCTCCGGGGCCACCAAAAGGCCAAGGCAGCTCGCATGGCTAATGGGGCCCTCCTCCAGGGCTGCTGGGGAAGGGGGCGCTGAGCGCTGGGGCAGCTGGGTCCCCCTGAAACACCGACACTTGTTCAAAGGCAGAAAGAAGGACCTGTGAGGCCCAAGGAACATGGAGTATTGTGGCCTGGGAACGAGAGGTGAGCACAGTCAGGCTGGGCCTGGGTGGACGGCTGGCGGGTGAGGGGCACACAGTGCGGGGGTGAGCGAGCAGGGAGCAGGGAGGGTCTGTCCCAGCTTCTGCATGGGGCCCATCTGCAGGTGAGCTCAGCACACTTGCTTTGCCCCTCATCCCGGGACCCTGGTGGCCTGCCCTTTGCTGTGCCCGGGAGGGTGGGGCCTCCTGCACAGGCAAGGGTCCAGCTGCTGGTGCGGCTGTGCCCCTCTCATCTCCTGGGCAACACAGGCATCCTCGTGGCCCCAGGCCAGTGACACAGGCAGACCCTCACCTGCATCTTGACAGCAATCACCACCGAGATGAGCTCCTTCTCCAGCTCCTTGAAGACCACCAGCTTCTTCAAGGTCAGGCTGCACAACCTGCAAAGGGCACAGACGGGCTCAGCAGTGACCGTGCACTCCGACGCCTTCTCATGCTCCAGGAAGGCCCCAAACTGCAGCAGCCCCAGCCTCCACTGAACCGCGGGCTCTCTGACCCCAGCACCTCGGTCACTCATGGAGACTGGCCCTCACGTATCCCAGGAGCCCTTGCCCAGGCCTGGCCAGGCTGGGAGCCATCTTCGGGGTCCCTGCATGTAGGGGGCACCCATCAGCACCCCCAGACTGCCGGACCAAGCACCCCTCCGCAGAGGGTCTCCCTCTGGTGAAGGTGGTCTGGGTGGGTCCACGGGCAGGCAGACAGGAAACCTGAGACCACAAACCCCGGAAAGCCCCCAGGGACCAGGGTACCAGTGCTTGGGAATCCCACTCCCAGCTGCCAGAGCACAGGCCTCCCAGGGACCCTGCCCTCAGGGTCCACTTGAGGCCCCGCCGCCCTCCTCTCCAAGGTCCTGCCCACCCACATGGCCCCACCCATCCCACAGGCCCCACCCACCCCAGCTGGGCTTCACCTCAGCCTGTCTCCCTGGAGACTGTCATCTGCCCTCCACTGAGCCCAGAGGGGCCAGGAGACAGACTCCAGGGCTTCCCAGGCAGGGGATGCCCCTTATTTGACTGCTGCAGGTTGGAGACAGACACAGTGCATCCCTGATAGTCCCTGACACATAGCAGTGAAGCAGGGGAGCCCAGCAGGACCCCTCTCATGGTGGCGCCACTCTCACAGCTCAGTCCATCTACCACAGGGGCTGCTCTGATTCTGCAGGGCCAGGGAAAAAGCTAGAGAAGGAGACGGATGAAAGCAGTTAACGTTCACCAGGACAGACCACATCCTGGGCCATAAAACAATGCTTCACACGCACAAAGTAAAAGAACCAGAATCACATAAAGTATATGTTCTCTGACGACAATGGAGTTATAGCTAGAGCTCAGCAATAGAAGGACAGCTGGAAAACACCAGCGACTTGGGAAATTCAACCACACACTGCTAAATCACCAACAGGACAAAGAGGAAGCCCGGAAGGACATTAGACGTAGTTTGTGTGGAATGAAAGTGAAAAACAACATGTCAAGAATTGTGGAATGCAGCTAAAGCAGTACTGAGAGGAGAATTCACAGCATTAAATGCTTATATTAGAAAAGAAAGACATTTTCAACTATACAATCGAAGCTTTACCTTAAGACACCAGGAAAAGAGCAAATTAAACCCAAAGGGAGAAGGCAGGAAATGAGCATAAAAGCAGAACAATGAAACTGAAGATAAAGAAACAATTAGAAAAAATAAAACCAAATTCTGGTTCTTTGGGAAGAGTAATACAATTGACAGAAACTCCAGCCACACAAAGGAAAAAAGAGAGAGAGAAGGCAAAAGTGACCCATATCAGGAATCAAAGAAGGAACATCACTACAGAGCTCACAGACATGGAACGACATGATTAGGGATACTACAGATAACGCAATGCACACGAATCTGAGAACCGAGATTACATGTACCAAATCCCTGAAAGCTACAAACTGCCCAAACTCACCAGGACAAACAACAGCCTGATCTATTAAACAAGTTGAATTAATAGTTAAACACTTCTGAAAAAGAAAACTCCAGGTGAGTTTAACCAGATATTAAAAGAAGAAATAACACCAATTCTACAAAATATCTTCCAGAAAACAGAAGAGGAAAGAATACTTCTCAAATCATCTTATGAGGTTAGCAAATACCCTGATACCAGCACCAACATCAGACAAAAACAGTACAAAAAAGGAAACCACAGACCAGTACTCCTTTCGGAACACACATGTAAAAATCTTCAACAAAATATTAGCAAACTGAATCCAGACATATATAAAAGGAACAACAGATAATACACCATAACCAAAGGGGGTCTGTTCCAGGAATGCAAGGTTGGTTCAACATTTGAAGTCAATGTGATACACATTACCAGACTAAATATGAAAAACCATAAAATCTCAATCAACTCAGAAAAACTTCTGACAAATTCAATACCCATTCATGATTAAAAACTCTCAGTGAATGAAGAATAGATGGGAATCCCCTCAACATGATTAAGAGCACGTCCAAAGGTCCCCAGCGAACATCACGCTGGATGGTGCGAGAGACAATACTGTCCCCTAAGATCAGGAATGAGGCAAAGCCACACCCTTTCACCACTGCAATTCAGTGGGCACTGAAGGCCTGCCCAGGGAAAGAG